ACGGAACAGCTGACTAGCACAGATCGCCCTCCGTGATAAAAGGATTAAATACTTATTAATCCATCGCCAGCCGAAAGTTTAGTTCGAGTCCCAGCACATGTAAATTGTTGGTAAAGCGCTAAATGCGTAACACGTTAAATTGAAATTTTATGAGGGTATTTTTTTTAGATTGCGAGAGAAATAAAAACCCGAAATTTAACGCAAGGGTCAAGTTTACCTGCACCTAAGCATTATCAGATCTTATTTGTTCACAGAGGCGCCATCTTGATATTATTTAGAGTCCCGTAAAGGTAACAACGGAACCTCGAAGCTATAGGATTACTCGTTTATCAATCCGTCCGGCCATTCATCTGTCACCGACTCATCTATTGACAATAGGAACACTTTTTTATTTTAGATGGTTTACCTTTTGGTTTACGATATGAATTTTCTTTAGCCTCTGTTTAATTAGATCTTAAAATTACTTTTTACAGTGCATTTAAAAGTTAAAACATTTGAATAAAGATTATGTTGTAGTTGTAATAAGGTACAGAACCTTGCCTTTTGTTGTAATTTTGTCTTTTTTTCTTTCTATTAGTTGAAGCGAGTGTCAAATATTATCGTTTCGTTACTAAAACGGAGCAAAACATTTGCTCTACTATCATATTAAATAACACAACAGCTTTTAGTGAGTGGCACTTTGTACAATGCTTCACGGACCTTAAAGGCGAGTTTCGCTTGCACATTGAAACAGATGTTAATAGCTTTTAATCCTATCTAACTAGGCGATCGAAGTCACCACCTTTTTGGGATTGTTGTAATTAATTATTAGTTTAATATTTACAATTTTCTATTAACGTCAATATGTCTGTCGAGTGTACAGACTAAGATATGATCTTGTTATGTTATTTTAAGGACAGCCGCTTTTTTATGACTCGCCCGTTAAATATTCACATTATGTTTTATAACACTTTGATTAGGAATTATATAAAAGTGTCTGTTTATACTGATATTTCCTTAAACAAAATAAAAGATAAGTTCTTCACAAGTTGCATATTTTTATTAGTAATTAGTATGTTTAACAGATATTATCTACAAAGTAGGTACACGATTTACCTATCTGCCTACATATGTACAATATAAATACAGGTTATTAGTCGTTAACAAGCATTAATTAAAGATAACATTTTAAAAGAACATATTTATGTAAATCAATAAGTATTGTTTGTATTAAAAGTAGAGTAGATTTAAGTAGGAGACAAATTTCTTTTCTCACTTGACGTGCTCTATTATTTTTTTTTCTATAAACACATTTTTTTTGTCATTAATGCAATTGATATAGTTACTGAAGGTTTTTTTATGGTCCTTAGATATAACATATATCTTTTGAAAATTGTACCTATTACTTTACCTATAAGTTTTTTTTTTGTTTTTGCAAATTCATGTTGGAATAACAGTGACTACATTATTATAACACACACAAATATCCTAATAGGTAAGACTTGTAAAATGAAATGCTTTTCAGAACACGCTGATAAAGAATTAGGTGTAATTGATAAGTTATTTTTTACATTTATATTATTACTTAAAGGCGATTAATTTTGTTTGATACAGATATAAGATTAGGCATATTTTCTTTCTTGTATGCCGCTTTAAAAGATATCTCGCACATTACTTATGCATTAAAACTTATCAGTGTTTAGGGGGAAACCTCGAAAATTGATTCTTAGAAATTATGACATTTTCGTTCATTGGATTTTTAAAGTAAATAGGTGCCTAGGTATATTTCTTTATATAGTCATAGTAATACAAAGCAAATGATTGAGCATTTTTTGTTATATCAAATTTTTTTGGTTTGTTTGGTCTTCTCAAAGATTTTGAAGTTAAAAGCTAGTAGGTACTGTCACGACGCTATCTTGGATTAGATTCTTGACTTAAAGATTCAATGTGCCTATAACTTCTAATTACCTGATGTCGCCAAATGTCGTTCATTGTATCTTCTTGTTGTATTAGTTTTTTTATATAAAATATCTACTTACTTCATCATCAATCTTTTTCGTTTCAGATACAATATGACAAAAAAATGAATTTCCTTTTAAATAATAATTTGACTATAAAACACATGTTTTCTTCGTTACAAACGGTATGCTGTCAGTTATTTGATATTATAATGGAGTAAATATGTTATACAGCATACAGAAAAAAACAACATTGCACTTACCTAACTCCGTAGAAACTCAGATATTTAGGCACAATACGGAGACGTAATGATATAATAGTTTTTCATTAAGCTACCTTCAGAAACTCAAGCCCTATAAACACATAGTACGTTTAATATAAGAGATAATATTCTTTTAAAGTACTTTTTTAATTGAGCCTACTTCAGTTAAGTGGTTTAAGGCCAAGATCCGACGGCTTACAGTAACCTCAACAGGTGATGAAAATGTCAAGTGATAATAACGGAATGTACCTACCTGTATTATTTATTAACTTGTAATATTAATGAAGACCTATATTAATGGGACTACCAATTACCCGTCGTTTATATTAAGCATTTTAGGTTAGTTTTAGAGTTAAAACTAAATATTTTCAGGCAGATATTTAAAAATGAACATTAATACTATTATAGTTGCGTCGTTTTTTGTGCTAAAAACCTTTGATCGAATATATTTATCGCCAGTATAAGGCACATTTTGATATATGGCCCCAGTATCAATGAAGACAGCTAACAAGTATCAATTTCCTAACCTATAAATTAAATATTTCTCACATATCGAAGATTTCTAGTTTTAATTATCTACACCTACTGGCTAATTAACATACCATGATTAGAATATAACTTAAAACACAAATTCACTGAACATATTTATTATTAGTTCTAATATTTATGGGATGCGAGAAAAAAGTGACACCTACTATATACTACATTAAAATTTTTATGTAACCAAAAACCTTATACTTTTCATATACTTTTTAATCGATAACGTTACATTTGTTATAAAAAAAAAGAGGATTAAATACCTATGAAAAAAAAATCGTAGGATACCTACCATTATATAATTCTATATATAGTGTTTATAAACAGCAAATTTTTTTAAGGATTGAACTTAACCTTCGTGGTAGCATACTATGTTAAATTAATCAAATTATTATACCTGTACCTAGTAGGTGTATTATTAGGTATACCTACCTTTACCTGTGCATCAGGTATGTTATAGGATCTACTATTTACAACTCAGAGGCAAACATAAATCCAATAAAGACTGATCTAGAAGATGGTCAGAGGTAGAAAGAAATTTGAACTTTCAAGATGACTTGAATGTTTTTATTGCATACAAATTCCCACAAAAGAATATATAATTTAAATGCCTTTAAATAGCCTAGGAGAGGACGCAAGCTGCAGAAATCTAATCCCTAAAGGTTGGTAACTATAATTCGTTGATTACTTAATAATTGAAAACAAAACTATTAATAGTTCTTAATAATATAATGATTTGTTGCAATCTTCTTCGGAGTAACCTGTAAAATCTAATGCAGCTACACAAATTAGGTACTTCCTGCGTAGGAAAATTTTTGAAAATGTTATTTATCAATATATACTTGAGTTCAATATCCTATGGCAACAACATAATTTAAACATAGACAGTAAAAAGTATTTTTTTGTTTTCTTATTAGTTACAAAAAATAAAAATAATAAATATGGTATTAGGTATATCATTCTCATGAGTATTGAACAAAAAAATATATAAGAAAAAACATTAAATGTAATATAATACCACTAGGTAGTTAGATACGCACATACCTAAACAAAATTATAATTGTTGATATCTTAACAAAAACAGTCAAAAATTAACATAGAAATGGAGTATCAATTAAATAAACCGTAGTCTACCAACAAGCGGGTTCTACAAAGTGAAACAGCCATTATTATTCCTTTTAACTAAGATTACGTAAGTGGTTAAAGGTTCCATTTAGTTAAGTAAGGATTAAATGGGTAGTATCAAATTTCTCCGTGTGATCAATAGGAAGTTGTTTTCTATAAACATCATGTTAAAATAAACGCTTTATTGATTCCCCGTTTTGTTTGTTTAATTGGTAGTTTAATTACTAATTAATCATTAATTTTAATTTGTATATTTGATTTCGTGCGCTCTAGGTACTTTGTTTTTAAATAAGTATCTAACAAGAAATTATTGGAATCTAATTAGTTATTCTGTTGCAGAAGTAAGTTTTTCATGATATAAATATACATATGTAGACATTTTATGTATTTATGTGAGGAGGTACCAACAGTATGTGTATTATAGATAGGCCTAAATATAGGCTATGAGTACATGACTTATTTGTAACTTAACCTTTAATATATGAAGGTAAGTGTAAGAACAAAATGCTTACAACCACATCTATACATAATATTAGGAACTTATTCCATTTTATTTGGTATTTTTTATATATATTTTCTTTTTAATAAGACTTTATACCTAGTCAAGTATAAAGACACAGGGTAAATATGTGGGCACACAAACACACACAAAATTTACCTATTTATTTAAGTTAGGTTAGAGTCTTGTGTATTAGGTAAGAACCTACTACAGTAATACCATAAACAGTCCTTAATGCATTAAAATATTTTTTGCATGTGATATATGTAGGTACCTAATTGTTAACCTATAAACATTCTTAAGTAGCTTCCCTCTTGCTTGCTTTCTTTCAGTGGATACTAAACCTACAAAACAGTACATTCAAGTTATCTTCATTTACCCTTCGAAAGGGGTAAATGATCCCCACAAGCAAATCGACAAAAACTGGATGATAGTTAGTGTTTGTTTAATTATTTTATTATAATCAAACAATTTTCATAGAGTCATTTCATAATGAAACAGACCCTACCTACATAGGTATATCTAGGGGTACTATTTGTTCACTGATCCTATTATTTTTTTCCAATTGCAAAAACAAAAGGGTAATAATATTTTTACAAGCAAATTAACTTAATTGAAATTAACTATATTTTTACTAACCTGCGAGGCGGGCGGGTATGAATAGCCAAATTGCGCATACGCTGCCATCGGGACGATCATATGGGCGGTTTCACACTAAACACTGTCTCTCGAAGTCTTTAGCACGGACGTATTAGTTTCCTAAAAATATGTCTACTACTGCTAGTACGAAATTAAGTTAATTAAGTGTATCACAGATTGTGTGCGCGGCGACTGCGCGGCGCGCTGCCATTCCTGCGCGTCAGCGGGCCGGTGCGCGCGCGCTTCGCATGCCGGGGCCCTCGTGTTCGTGTGCGACCGGCCTATACCTTCTTTACGCGATCGAGGCTAAACACCGACTGGCGCGCGTACGACGCTTCACGCCCCTCCGCCGTAGGAGACGGCCAATTTAGCCCCGCCTTGGAGGCGGCTCCGCATATCGACCACCAACCATGGCTTCAATTTTCTGTCCTTTTCAAAACACTAGACAGAAACGGAGCGTCTGATTGGCGTTCCATATCCCCTCCACTAAACGAGTCCGCCCACCGATTCTTTGCCGCCCACGTCCGGGTGGGGCGCTGGAAAAAAGCGGCAGAGTCGGCCCGACTTGATCATGTTTATGGGTTTCCGTCGAGACAGTCCGCCAGCCCTGTACCGCGGGCAAACAAATCTCTAGTGGCAAAAAATGGCTCGGCCGAGGACAAGTTGTTTCACCTCGTCAGATTTACGAACAAGGCGACGCCGAGTTAAGAATCGACTTTATAGACTACCACCTGCGTTGATATTGGGTAGAGCTTTATGTTGTCTCTGATACTCCGATAAAATAAGATGAATAGGATAATTGTCGAGCAGACTCCAGTTTTTGGTTAAGATAACAAGATATAACTGTTTTATCAACAAGTTTAAATGTAGATATTTACAATTGATTGATTTTCATTAAATGCTTAGGATAGGGTGAAGACAAAGATTTAGGTGAAATATCGATTGCATATAGGTACGAATGCCTAATTTTATAGATCGTGCTGAAGAAGGTTAGTTGAATGCTTGAAGGAGGTGTGTATTGTAATATAAGTTATAATAAAAAAACTAAGTCACTTTTTGATATTGTTAGCCTGATTCAAAGGTAGGTACTTCATGAAAGCTAGTTAAGTAGAAAGTTTGGAAGTAATAATTACCTACTTCCGAAATTTCTACATTAGTTTAAAACAAATTAAATTACTTACCTGAACAATAAACTGAAAAAAATCAAGATTGGGTTACGTGCATTGGTCTCCCTTATCTTATTACCGATCTAAGGTAAAAGATTATACAAAAATCCTAAATATTTCATCAGTTTTTGACCTGATTCATTCACACCTACACAATAACATTGATAAAACTAATAGCTAAGCAGAGAACACTAAAACACACTTAGCATGCATTACAATATCTACTGTATAATGTACCTACATCAATACTTAAACATCTAGCAATTACTTAGACAAGGTTTTATGAATCCACTGAAAGTGCTGAAACGCTCGGAATGTTCTGGTACTAACTGAAACGGCCCAGATTTCGCGGAGACGTTGAAGACGTGATTTAGGGGTCGTCACATAGGTGGCGCTATCCATTCCGCTTACCAAGATACGTAACATTTTAACAGTTTGCTCGGGAAAAGGAAAGTATTCGTAGATTTAGCTACTAACTTGTTTTACGGAGTAAGGGAAGCGCTCCATTTTCTAGTTGGACTTTTGAGTTTTGACGTGAATATTTTTCTTTATAGATAACTATTTTAGTTTAGTTAGTTAACTAGAGGAGTTAGTGATAGCGTGACGGGGGACAGGACAGAATGGAAGAAATAACATATTGCGCTGACCCCAAATAAAACGGGACAAGGGCAGGAAGATGATGATGGTAACTAATTTATAGAAACAACTTATTACAACTTTTGAGGTTTCTATGTCTTGGAAAAGAAAGAGGTTACACCTCAATAACATAAAAAATCTAAAGATTATTGTGTATGTAACATACCTAGCTTTTTAATATTGTTCTCATAGTTAACAATACCTACATAGTTAAAATTAAATGCGTACCTACAACCAGTAGTCACAAATAAAAATCGACATCTAATATCAATGACGACCAGACTACATTTAGTACGTTGAAATTCAAACTTGCAAAACGTTAAGAAATTTTCAGTGAACGCAAATCTTCTAGACTTTTAACACTGGTTAAAGTTAACAATTAGCTACCGAGCTAATATGAGGAGGTGCCTCGTAGAAATCTATTCTAAACTTTGTAGTCAACCGAGACAATATCAAGTAGGTATGCTTGATGCTAAAAATAATTTAAAAATGATATGTGATATGTGCAATGGTGTGTTTTTTTATCTAAGTAGAACAATAATAATTTATAGTAATAAGTACTTCTTACGAAAGCGTTTTTCTCCGCGAGATTTAATAGGCGCAGTCACTTTTAAGTTTTTGATTGTCGAAGAGATTTATAGTAGAGAAGTATAAAATAAAATAATAAGGACGAATTTAAATATGGAACACATAGGATTACTACTTTCTTAATATTTTAAATAAAAACTTTTATCCTATTCTAAAAGTCCCTAATTGAGACGCAACTGACAAGAAGTAAAATATCGAGGAAATATTGTTTGTAATACTTCTTTGCTTATAACGGTAATTAAGTTATAAGTACAAAAAGTTAAATAAAACACAAAGAAAAGAATGAAATTATAATTTATGTAAGTATAATTTAAAAATGCAACTCTAAAACAACAAATATGGTCAAACTATGAAAAAAAAAAATCTTTTGAAAAACAACTTTTTATCGACTGAGTCAATAAGTCCCGAAACTTGATTCTTATAGAAGTAAATTTTAAAACATTTCTTGGCCTAAAAACTAAAAAAGCTGACAAAATTGCAACCTAATCAATTGAAGATATCTTCTTCAAAATTAAGCTCAATATTCCACATTCAAATATGCACACATGAAATAAAACCTTGTAAAAAGAAATTATTTCATAAATAAAATCTAACGTAGCGTTCATATAATTTTGTGATGGTCTGTGAACCACTTATGGCATAAAATAATAGCTACACGATAAAATATTACAGCCGCAGGAGCCGATAGGTACTATTAAATATTTAATTAGTATCAGAGGAAAACTATAAAAACTGCAATAAAATAATTTCGCTTGTTAGTTACGGATGTTTGTTTGTACATTTCTTATTACACGTTACTCAATTTGCCATTTCCTGTTCGTATATAAAAATTGATCTCTATTGTTTTAAGCAAATACATTAAACATGTTTTTTTTAAAGTAAAGTTTAAAAAGTGCATCTTAGATATTGTAGATTAATCCGTGTGTTATGATTTTGAAATGAGTTTTTGGGGCTGGTAACAAAACGAAATATCTCTGCAATAAGAATAGATTTTATTTTCGCGTGTTTTCTATCTGTAAAATCTTCTTATAAACTCAATGTATGCAAGCCTTTGTGCGCGTCTTACAAATAAAAAAGAATAAACAATCCTGACTGCACTCACTCTGCATGTTCACGAATTGGAACCGGATCACAATAGACGTGCGTATGTGCACGTCTGAGCGTGAAGAAAAATCGTTGGCATAAATTACGGCAACCGAATGCAGTTATGTTTTGAATATACTGACAGGATAACTATGAAAATGTATTTAGTTGTCATTACGAAATGAAATTCAGATGCTTATTTCTTATGTACCTTTCATACTTAGTCACAATATTATTTTGACAAGAACCTTAGCTACAGCAACGCGTGGTTGGGCCTGCTAATCTTTTGTATGTGGGGAATAACTGAGTACCATTTTATCTAATATTTACTATAGATATTGGCTTCCACTAAACTTATTATTGAGATACCTATTATTTTAAAAGAATGGTAGGTATTAGTCGTAGTTTCCGGGACCTGTTATTTCGATTGAAATAAAACTAATATTGAATGAAAATACTTACAGTGGATAACGTGACAGCGCATTGACGTCATTATATTAAAAAGCTTAGTTCCATATGAAAAAGGAAAATTGTATCGCGTGAAAAATATTGTATTTCTTCTGTAAAAAAGTGCTTATTAGAAAAGGTTCCGTTTCGCATAGTCGATGCAAGGAGTAACGGATGCATTTACTTAATGTATCCGAAAAATAAAAAATAGGTACAGGAAAATAATTCAATATTCAAATTGTATTATAGCTTGCTACAGTTAAATAAAGGATAATCATTAAAAACAGACTAACAGAAAACCAAAGGAAGAAAACGAGTGTGCATCAACACCGAAGAAGTGGAAAAATACAAAGCTAAAGGTGAGAATTCAACAAACCAAGAAAAGGTAAAAAGAAATGTTTGTCGTTCCGTTTGCTTTTTTTCTACTTCGTTTTATCCTTGCCCACCTTTATAAAATTTGTCGTTGAACAAATGGAATTCTTTTCAACGAAGATTGTAGATACAAATAAGTACTTAATAAAAATTTTTCATGAAAAAATAAGTTTAGATTTTGTTCAGAAAGCAAGAATATACATCTATACTAATATTATAAAGAGGTAAAATTTGTAAGTTTTTATGTAGGGGGTAATCTTTGGAACCGCTGGTGTGATTGCCAAAATTCTTTCACTGATAGATAGCTACAATGTTCCTGAGTGCTATAGGCTATAAAACATCACGCTACGATCAAATGGAGTCGAAAGGCGGGTGAACCCGCGCTAGAGTAGCTACACCAACATAGGTGTTTAACAGATAACTAATGGATGAAAAACGTTTCTGATTATCGTTATTAATGTCGTTACATAAAATGGTATTATTTGTTTAGGACATGTTTGGAACTAGTCAGATACTGTTTTATCTATGAATTAGTACGAATCACGTCAATCGGATAAGTTGCTCTTGTTTATTTACAATCGTACTTATATATGACTGATTAGCATTATACACGTAAAGTGTAAACGTTCGAAGATAACTCGTATAGGCAAATTGGAACTCGATAGCAGTAGTTAACTAGTTAAGTACCTATATACATATTTTAATACATCAAACCCCAAGCGAACGCCGGCCGGCGTACGCGCACCTATTGTTCTTTTATTGTGTCTCGAATTACCACTATTAAAAAAAACAATTAGAAAATAATAAAACTATTTTTTTTAAACGTTGGTAACGTACATTTGGATTTTCTCCTGTGTCGTGGGTGCGGTTACAAACATACAATTACACATACACATGACACCCAGACCCGGAACAACAATTTGTGGATCACACAAAGAGTTGTTTCGTGCGGGAATCGAACCCGCGACACGTTGCAGTTGCCCAGCCACCGCACCAATCGATTTTGACGGAATTG